AGCATTACTAGACGCACGTCCTACAGGAGGGAAGGCGGAGGATGAAGCTGAAGGTAACCCAAGGTTAGCAGGTGTTTGCCATCTTCTCTGAAACCCACCGAAAACCAAAGGCTGACACCCATTAGCAAGAACAGTCAAGGTACAAGTCAGAGGGTCTTCGCAGCCGTTAGATGGTAGACTCTGGAAGAAGTGAGTTCCAGGCGGGTGGAGGATTTCCTCTGACAAGCTGGGGGGTGGAGTCTGTGGAGGGGAGGCCTCTTGTGGAGGAAACGGGCTGTGGGGAGGCTGTGTTGGCTTCTACACCTCCCAAGGTGAGAGGCCCATCGACGGCTCATCAAAATCATGGAAATCAAAACGTGGCAGGAGCCACGACTGGTTTCTATAGAAAACTCCCCAGAGGAATCCAGCAGGTCCTGCCAGAGATGCGGCCCACCTCTCTCCCCGGTCATCTTGGCGGACCAACCAACATGTGTTAGAAGCCTCTGCCTTCGCTCCCAGCCTCGCGATGTCCTCTGCCCCTTCCACCTCACTGGCCATCTCATCTCGGGGCGCCTCAGCCTTTACCCCACTGTCAACCTCTCTCACGCCTCAACTCTTTTTGCTGCGGCCTGGGCCTCTGCTGGGGCTGGGGAGTGGACCAAAGATGGACGCACCCTGAGCCTCCTGCCTCCTCCTCAACCTGTCGGGGAGGGAGAGGCGCTGGGCCTACCGAGGTGGTGTGGGATGGGGCTGATCGCAGGGAGTGGTGATGAGGGACAATGGGAAGGCCAGCCAGCCTAGGCCTCTCCCTCTGACTCCGCCCTCTGGCTTTCAGGACCAGATGGGAACTGGAGCTAGGGGAAAGGCCCACCTGGGGCAGCCAGCGAGGGGCCTGAGCAGGAGACTCACTCTGAATGCTGGAAGGCTGCAGCCGGGGCTCATTTGCATCATAAGTGATTGGTTTTCCCTGCTCTTCCCTCATTAGGACACAATGGACAGTTGTTTGCTGGCGAACAGATCCATTTACCAAGGGACAGAGGAGACAAGCAGGAGTGACTGATGGGTGACAGTGTTAGGGGGCACCCCGGCTCTCCTCCGGGCCCGCTGGCACTTTGTGTTCACACAATGAGAAAGGGCCACGCACAGAGCAAACCCACCCCCTCATTTTCCAGACGAGGAGACTGAGGTGCTGAAAGCGGACGAGCCTTCTGTGGTCCAACAGGGAGATGATGGCAGGACCCCCAGCGTCTGCCTCTCGGTCACTGGCTGCCCTTCCCTCAGTTCAGGCCCTTGGTTTCCATTCTTCCCTCTCCAGTGATGGTCTGTCTGTCTGTCTGTCTGATTTGCTACTTCTCTGTCCCTGCCCCTCTCGCTACCTTTTCCTCTGTTTCCAGCCAGCCATGATGGTTACTGCACTTCTAATGAATCCCTGCCCTTCATAGGGGTGCATCTGGCAGGAGAGAGCAATTTGGAAACTGTCTCAGTGTGTTCTGGGGAGAGGTGGGAAAGGCAGGACTCTGTGCTGAGCCCTATCATAAACCTGGCACGGAGACTTTGATCTCACGTTGTCCTTGCAACCTGGCCAGGCAGGTGTTTGCTGAGGCAAGGAGACAAGCTGAGAGGTTGAGTGACTTGGGCAAGAGCAGCTACCTGGCAAATGGACTGTCTGCCTCCCAAACCTCGTTCTCAGGCCCTGAATCAGGGGCTGGCCAGGGTGGGTGACCTGCTGATCCCAGCTCCAGGGAGTTGCCCTCTCTCTAAAGGTCACTGCTTCGCAGCTCCTCAGAGGCAGCGAATGATGCCTCCCCCTTTTCTACCCTCTGGTTCCCACCCTCCTCTGGGCTTTCACCCCTGGAGAGTTGTTGGGGCAGCAAAACCGGGCCAGGGGGGCTCTCCCTCCTGCTCACACCCGCTCCCAGCTCCCTGTCTGCCCTTTCTGCTTTGTGGGGCAGGCCTGCCAGTGTAGGGGTGGGTTTCATTGTCCCCTGGAGGAAGGGAAAGTCTAGGGGGAGTGGGTGTCTGTGTGCTTGAGCATAAGGGCCTCTGGGTTCATTCTGACACTGAATGAAAAACTCACCAATTATTCGTCCAATCTCATTAATATGCAGGCAGACATCTGTTATTTAGGAGTCAACAGCAGAGGCATTTTTCTTGGGGGGAGGGGCATGCATCTAGCATCCCTCTGGTCTCTCTGGCTGTTGTGGGGGTAGCTGCATGGGAATCAGCCCCCCTCCCTCGGAACCAGAGCCTCCCAGAGCTCTGACCCTTACCCACCCCTTGTCTAGAGGGAGCAGGGGATGGAGAGGTGGAAGGAGAGGTGTGGTGAAGAAACTCCATTCTTGACAAGAGGAGGTTCCGAGAGGACCTGACCCTTTTCCTGGGAAGGAGAGGGCGGGGTCCAAGGAGAGGGAAGTCCCAGAATTGCCTGGCAGGGCCCTGGTGGCCATGGAGATGACCCCTTCCCTCCATCCCCTTGGCCTGTAGGATCTGGGCCAAAAGAATCAGTCCAGTCTGATCGTATCTGGGGCGGGTCACTACAGCAATGAGGGGTGTTTATGAGGATTTCTGCTTTCCGATGAATCACTAGAGAGCCTGGTTGATGTGGGGACCCAGCAATCTCCCAGCCTTCTGGCCTCTTTCACCCCAAGTCTCAGCACAACTACTCTCCAAGAAGCCTGCTCCCCTCAGCACTCCAGCCTGGAGGTCTCGGAGGTGGAGAAAAAAGGCTGCCCACCACCTCGGTCCCTTTCAGACAGTCAGTGTTTGTTCCTCCGAATCTTCCCAGCCAGGCGTGGGAACGGCGTTCAGGCAGGTGCAGGCCCTTGGCCAAAGACTTCCCAGGGAGGAAGTGGCAGGTCTACCACCCAAACTCTGGGATGTCCCAATGTCAAGCTCTTCTCATGACTGTCCCTGCAGGGCAAGCTGGAGCCCCCAGGGGACAACCCTGTGCCAGCTGGTGTTCCAGGGCCTGGACCCAGTTTCTCCTCCGCCTCCTCCCTCCCGGCTCGCTGATTGCCGAGGTTAAGAAACACTGGCAGCATCGCAGCAGGATTAGTTGTTTATTTCATTAAATGATTAAGGAGGCTACATTGTTTCCCAAATGGGTGTCTAATTTGTGGGGGGAAACAGCTGCCTAGGAGGAGGAGGAGGAGGCCTGCAGGGTCTGAGGCTGGCATCATGAAACAGTGGGGGCAGGGAGGACTCCCCCTCCTCACCACAGGGGCTTTGAGGACCAAGGCCCAGCCCTACCATCTCCTCTGCTCCAGCCCCTTCCCCATAAAGGGAAACGCGGGCCACCCAGACTTGCAGAGGGGACCAACTCCCTTCCCAGGGGTGCTGGAAATGGATTCAACTTGAGGGTTCCCCAGCTGACTTCTCTTCCTAATTATGTTTGCTTAGAGATGTGTTTGCAATGACAGGCGAGGGAGGTTGGGAGAGGAGAGGGGTGCCACCACGCTGCACTTGGGTGGTTGCAGGCTTGAGCCTGCATGGCACCCCAAGAGTCCAAAGTGGAGCAGCCACATAGATTGGCATCCCTCTGGGACCAGATGGTGGCCCTCCCTAAGCACCCACCCCTCCTGGGGACCCAGCGGTCTCAGCAGCACCCCTAGACAGTGTGAGGGGCAGGGTAGTTCAAAGCCCAGTATTCTTCAAGCTGTCCTTCAAAATCCTCACGAAGATGGGCTGAGATGGACCAGGATGGGGTTCCCAGGAGGAAGAGGGAGAAAGGGGTACCGATAGATAAGGGGGTGGGGATGAATTTCCTTTCCTCTCATGTCTGGGGACAGTTACAGGGAGAAAAGAAGCTATTTAAAAAAAGACATCTCGGAGCCAAGTATTTCCAGCCTCCCCCGTTACTGTCCCCAAACTCAATCTGATCACTTCTTTTCCCTGCTTGAAATCCCTAGTGGCTCCGCTTGGTCTCAGATTGAAGTCCTCAGAGGCCCTGCAGTGGCTTTCTGGGCACCTCCCCAGCCCGATGGCCACGAGACCCAAAGGAACCATGTCTTTCCTTGCCTCCCGTGCTCCAACCTGCTGAGCTTTCTGTCCGGAGTGCCTTTCCTACCCTTGCTGTGCCTGGAACGCACAACCCTCTTCAACCCTCGGTACCTAGCTCCAAGGCACACCCATAGGCTCCTCAGCACTCTGCAGCACACATATGCCTGCATCAAGGCACCCCCGCCCTGGGGAGCCCCTCTTCCTGCAGAGCTGGCCTCCAGAAACCCAGGGGCAGGCCCTTTCTGTCGGCCTGACCGACTGGCCCCCAGTTGGTACTTAGTGCCTCTGTGAGGGTAGTTAGTGGGTGGGGATCCCAGCAGATGGGAGGCTAAGGGTGCTGCCTCCTTCAGAGTGTCTGGAAGAACTGGCTGGGCTGGGGCTGGGGCTGGGGGCGGGGTAGACCGGGGATGGTTCCTCGGGGAGAATGTCACCAAAAGAGGCCAGTGGGACGCGTGCCAGGGAGGGAATACAGGACAATGTGAAACCAGACTCCTGAGAAAACAGACCCACACTGTCCTTCCTGACCACAAGCGCACGGCCGTCCCCTCCACCAGCTTTCTGTCTCTAGGGGGTGGGGATGACCCTAAACTCGCAGCTGATACTCCTTCCCCCACCCCCACCCCCAGTCTTCAAGGAGATAGTCCCTGCCCCAGCCACCAGGAGACCCCAGAATCAACCCCCTAGGAACCTCACCCTGAAGAGGGTCAGCTTCTGTGACCTGGAGACCTCTGCCACCCTCCCGCTGCACACCACCAGGGCTTAGAGGTGGAGGTGGTCAGTAAGAGGCCTTCAGGAAGACCCGCCTCCAACGTAAGCAGGGGGGCCCAGCCCAGAACATGGCCAGGATCCCTCATTCCCAGACCTCTGGCTCTTCAAAGGATATGGCCGAAAGGACCCAGGGCTTTTTGTGTGTGCTCCAACTGTGGATAGAGAAAGTTCTTCCTGAGGCCCAACGCTCCTTCACACTGCTAGACTGATTTTGTTGTCGTTGTTCCAGAGCAACAAAACTAAAGCCACAGTTGTTTGACATGGGCATGGGTTTTATTGGAGGCTTGGGGGGGAAGAGGGGGGAAGGAGCTAGGGCTGGTGGGTAGCTAGGGGCGGGGCTTCCCCTTGCTTCTGCATTTAGTGCACATCGCCTGGAGGTTAGGGTGCATGAGAACAGCTGTAGAAGTGAGAGGGGAGGAGCAGAGAAGGGCACAGGATGGATGCTCCTTGGGGAAGGAAGCTAGAACCGGGTCTGCGGACTGGGAGCGGGGAGGGAAGGCACTCCTTGACTGCGACAACCAACGTCCCCACGCTTGAGGCCAGCTTCCCCAACACCCACCTGCCCCTTCCTAGCTCATGCCCCAGGTACCTGCCCCTGTCGTCCCCTAGCTTCCTGTGAAGAGGAGGGAGATGAGGATTTAGGGAATGGTAATGCCCTTCTGTCCACCAGCTCCTTTCCACTGGGCCCGCCCCGGCCCCCTGGCCAGGGTCGGACAAGTGAACAACGTGGCCTGGCCACCCCGCCTCACTCCGCTCTGCTGCATCCCTCACATGAGGTTGCAGCTCTTGGCCCGGTCCTTGTGCATCTCGCCCTCAGTCCCCCGGTCCGGCCGTCCTGACAGCTGAGCAGATCGCTGCAGTCCCCGGCGTGAGTCAGTACGGCGCAGCTGCCTATGGCCACGGCCCAGGGAGGCCACGGTGGCCACGTGGAAAACATCCCTGACGCTGCGCTCGGAGGATCGGGAGGAGCACTCGACATAAGACACGGCTCCCACCTGCTTGGCCAGCACACTGCCCTGGAAGAGAAGTTCGTGGGAGAGTTAGGGGCTGAGATACTTCTCAGCAAGGGACTACTGCGTAGCTAAGAGTTGGGGAGGTAGGGCTGCAGATCAGTGATGAGAGGTTGATGCAGATGGGCCGGGGAGGGTGTTTTCAAATCAGAGACTGAGGGGAGAGGTTTAGGCTGGGGTCAGGTCAGAAGTCCCACCTGCTCATGGGTCACAGGGATCAGCCTCTGTTTGGACAGCTCCCTCAGTGTGGCCAGGTCCGTCCGCATGTCCAGCTTACAGCCAACCAGCACAACCTTAGCGTTGGGGCAAAACTCCTGAGTCTCCCCCTGCCACTGTTTAGGGGAGAAATAAGAGTTAGGGAAGGGTAGAGGGGGGCCCAGGGTGAACCCAGGGCAGAGAGGGTGTTCTGCCCCCAGTAATCTTTTACCATTAGGGATTTCCCCAAATGAAGAGGAAGGTGGGATTGGAGCTGGGTTGAAAGCAGACCTGGGTGTGGAGAAGGGGGTGAGGTGAGAGAACTGGGTGGGGCTGAGGGTTTAGGGTCCTCCTCCCTTAGTCTACAGCCCTGAACCTTCCAGCTCCCACCCCTTTCTCAAACTCTGGTCTGGGAACAGAACAAGTCTGCCCTGCCCTGCCCTCCCCTGTCTGGGAACTGGGGCTGCCCTAGCGGATGGACACTCATCCATTCACCACAGGCTTTTCTCATGGAAATATGGGCCTGGAGAGCTCCTGCATCTGGGACCCCACACCCCAGGAGAGGAGGAGAGCCAGGAGGAGGAATCTCCCAAGTCCCCCTGGCTCCTGTCCCGCAGCTGTGTCTGTGAGGAGAGCCCAGAGTTTCAAAGGGTGCTGGCTTGTCCACTTTGTCTGGGCTCTGACAACACCCCCCTCCCCCCCGGGGTGCCCACCTTCTTGAGAACACTGTCCAGTGTTTCTGGCCGGCTGATGTCGAAGCAGATGAGCACAGCGTCAGAATCAGGATAAGCCAGAGGCCGGACATTATCATAGTAGGAAGAACCTGGAGGAAGATGGGAGGGGGTGGCCTTAGGAATCAATTGTGGTCAAGAGTTGGTTTTTTCTTTGGGGGGGGGGGCAGGCAGAGCAGCTCTTCATTTGGAAAAGGCAGTTTGTGCCGTCTCCAAGGAGGCAGAGCAGTGGAGGTGAGCAGGTGGGGAGGAGGTGACAGGGCAGGCAGGCAGGAAGAACCTGTCAGGGACAGAAGGCCCCTGCTTCCCTGGGGCTCTCTCTGAACGTGGCAGTGCTTCCCCTTTTCCCCCTGGAGAACCATGACCATGGCATTTGTGCCTCTGACCTTTGATAGATACCTCCAACCCGCCAGGAGAAGCTGATTTAAAAAACAAAACAAGCGGGTGGGGGAAGGGCTCACCCATCCCTCTAAGACTTTATCTTAGAATAGTTCAGAAGTTCGAAACAGTTCAGTCTGTTTCTCACTCCCGGTCACTCCCCCATCCCAAAGAAATTCTACATGTCCTCCCTAAACGTGGTCTCACCTCCTAAGGCACACGTTCCCAAACAAAAGCCACCCCTTCCCAACTTTCCTAGAGAGGAGGGCCCAGGGGAAGTGCTCAGGTAGTGGGGCTTCTCCTTCGGGTCAAGGTCTCTGTCCCAGTACGCCCTGCCTCAGTTTCCCTGGCTGTAAGCAGAACACTGAATCTCCTCCTTCCTAGAACTGGACAGATAAGCTTGACTGGCCTGAAGCCTAAGGGGCTCCCAAGAGAGGTTGGGGCCCGGCTTTGGAAGTCAGGGTCACCCCCAAGGGACTTTGCTACCTGAAGTGTCCCACATGTTGAGCTCAATGCGGCGCTTGTCTATCTCAAAGCTGGCGGTGTAGTTCTCAAACACGGTGGGGACATAGCTCTGCAGACGCGGAAAGGACATCATGAGAGCCTTGCTCCGTCTCACCCCTGACAAACGTCCTCCCCACGCCCACACCTGGTCCAGCCCTGCCTCGCACCCAGTTGGTCTGAGGTTAGGCAAAGGGGAGACCAGAAGAGCCCGCTCAGAATCAGTCCAAGACCACCCCCTTTGACCCCTTCAGCCTCGAGTTCTACCTCTGCCCATGCCCAAGGCACCCCCATTTCCCCAGCCGCCCCCATTGGGATTCTCCCAAACCCTATTCCACATCGCCTCGCTCCCCAAATCCTCCCATCCCAGCCTCTGCAGTCCCTCCAGAGCCCCCGTGCCTCCCGCAGTCTTCCGAGCCCCTCTCCTTCCCTGGCTGGCCGGGTCCCCTGTTCCTGGCTCTCTCTCAGGCCCTGGTCACCCACCCCCGCGCCCTCGGCGCCCTCCTCTCCAGCGGCGCTTCCTCACCCCGGGATAGGCGTCCTTGGCGAACACCTGCAGCAGCGCCGTCTTGCCGCACTCCGCGTCCCCCACCACCACGATCTTGCAGCGGCCGCTC